TTCCCACCCCACATAAACCTCGTATTTTAAAAATGTCATTAACTATAATTTGCAATTAATATGGCTTTGAGTCTTGAATTAAGAAAAAGGATGCGCAAATTTCCATCACTTAATAAAAACCTGGGATAAAATTTTACATTAGATATGAAAAATTGATGTTATACCAAATGAGGAGGTAACAAGTCGGTCAAAACGAAATACGAATTCAGAGATGAATATAATTTCATCAAATATATAAATACAGTAAACGGATGCTTAGAGATCTGTCTAAGGGTCGACATTATGGTTGATAATTGAAAGGCAGTGTCATGCGGATGCCTATTTTAATAACGTTTTAAATGTTTCTGTTTTTCCTGGACCACACCAACATTTTGGATACATTACTTGAAGTGATGGTCATCGTTAATTGCATTTTTAGATTATCCGATTCCGCTTGTGACGTACGTCAAACAAGGGGAAGGAGGGGTATTTAATCGTCGAAGAACCTCCATCGATCCCAATTCTATCAGCCATCAATTACAAAAGAGTCGAGGTGAGAAGTATTCACGCCAAAAGTGATCAAACTTGTGGACAGGAGAAAGCGAAATTGACAGAAGATTCATTTCTGCAAGAGCCCAACAATAGCACAATTTCAACTTAACTGACCTATTTTTTTTTTCAAAATTAAAATGCAGTATATAAGCACTGTTTCCAAAGTGATATGTCTTTGCTTCCTCTTTGTTTGCGCTACTAATGGAAGACAACTGGATAGTCGAAGGTAAGGAAGTATTTTTGTTTTTAGATCTTTACACTTATTCTGTGGTGACAAATTTTTAATGTAATGCAGAGGTCCAGATTTAACGAAATCCTGTAAGAAATGCCAGGTGAAAGTAAATAATTAAAGAATCTTATTTCCTTTGTAAATAGCAGAAACAGAAGAAAAATTACTACTCACATTATTTTTTGATCCTTACGATGGCCTTTTCTTTCTTTATGAGACAGGGAGGTGGTTATTTTTTGTGTTATGTAAAGGGTCCGAGATGGATGGGTGCTTAATATCTTTTCTTTGACCTATTTTTCTTAACAATCACTAGTTATGTAGCCGTATTTTAATTTCCGCTGCTTTTTTTAGCAAACCGAATTATTCGTCAGTAATGTACAGTCTTACAAGACTAATTTGCTTCAAAAGCATTTATTCTGGGAACATTTTTGTTACAAAAAATAAAGCATGTATGTATTCTGTGTCACTTTTAATACTGAATTTGTATTAAATATAATTTTATTTTCGGGAAAAATCCCACAAAACCATCAATTTGGCTCTGTTAAAAGAAACCAGGAATGACTTTTTAAAAAAACTGTTTAAAATCCCCCCCTCTCTATCTCTCTATGCATGTAGTATTTGGATAAAAAAATTAACATCACGTCAAAGAGGTTATATCGCTTCCTGGTAACTTGTTCTTGTACATGTATGTTTATGTTCCATTCTTCTTTTGCGTTGAACCCCATGGGGATCCGGGTTAGAATAGGTCCTCAGTACCCCCTTGCTTGTCGTAAAAGGCGACTAAATGGGGCGGTCCTTCGGATGAGACCGTAAAAACCGAGGCCCCCTGTCACAGCAGGTGTGGCACGATAAAGATCCCCCCTCCCCTGCTCAATGGCCCTGAGTGCAGAGCATAGGCCTAAATTTGCAGCTCTTCACCGGCAATGGTGACGTCTCCATATCAGTGAAATATTCTGGAGAGGGACGTTAAACAGTATACAATCAATCAATCTTTCGCCTTGATGTCTTTTTAATGGTTTATATATATATCAGATTAAGGACAGTCATGAATAAACATTAAACAGTGGATTACATCAATATTGATGTCAAAAGACAATCATTCATGTTTTGTTTATTTTTAGATAATTAAGTGCAATTTAGTGTCGTCGTGTTTAAAAACCAAATCAGAATAATTCATTTTCCAGCTTCAAAAGCAGAGAATCCTTTGGGTATTTAAGAAAGAGGAAGAAAATTGCAAGCATTCATCAGTTATTTTTTACATATAAAAACTTGGTTTTGTGTGTTCTATTTTTTGGACGTATAGTGAAGGAGTTTAATTGAATTTTGAAAGAATGTCATGAAAACATGATTGGAAAAAAAGACAAGTTTATGATATATGAAAAGATGAGTTGTCAAACGTAGAATACAACACTTATGTGATTAAAGAATAAAATCAAAACAACTGTAGAATTAAATTATAATTGACCAAAGGAAAATGGATATACTGTATGAAAATAGTAGAGATGGGTATCGCCAAAAATTTCGTATCGCAATATATGACGATTTTTTTTCCAAAATATCACGATAATATTGTGATATTTTTACAATCAATTTTTACAATGATTTTTAATAAATTGTCATTATTTTTTTTTTAAATATGCTAAAAAAACAAAATTTCACTTTTTGAAATTTTTATGTACATAAAATTAATCATGTTTGGATGTTCTTTTCACCTTTTTACAATATTTTTTTAGACTTTCTGTAATTGTAATTTGAAAGATTGAACAAATAAATGAATAATTTCTGGACTTCATAGAATGTACCTAAATACCGGTATTTAAGACTCTGTATCACGATACGTATCACGCAACAAAAAATTGCGATATACCGGTATACCGATAAAATCGCACATCCCTAGAAAATAGGATTTTTTAAAAAATGTATTTTCCATTTAAGCTCACCCAAGATGTTTTGTAAAGAAAAAAGGTGAAGATAACGAAAAAAGATTGATCTCATAAAAAGTGAAAAAAATACAAATCGGTGAAACACGGACTCCTCGAAATTCCAGAGTTGGGATCAAGTGCCTAGGAGGAGAAAGCATTCCCACCAGACCAGCCATAGACCCTACAATGATAAGCAAATTTTATGATCAAATATATACTGAATACAAGGTTATTTTCGCCCTTTCAATTTAGCAAAAATTTTGCCCCGTTTTAAATTTGCACAGGTCTGTTTAGGAAATCTTGTTCTTTGAATTCGTCCCGTTTTAAAATTCATCCTACCGAGAGTTGGGTTAAAGTGTCAAAAATAAATCGCGGCGGATATTTCCCTGTGTACTGTCTATATAATGAAATGCATGTAAATTTTATGTTGAATTGAGAAGGGTGTATAAATAGGTCGATATAAAAGGAAAGTTTAGTACATGGTATGAAAATAAGAAATTCAACATTGTAATGTTATAGCATGCCATTGTATATACATGTAAGTTCTAGAATCCTACAATAGTTATCTATAAATACCATTTAAACTGTGAATGTTATAAATTTTATTTTCCTCGGTAATTATCAGTATTGTTTTATTGTGTTTATTTGTGTAACATTTTGTGGTGAACAGTTCATGAACAATAAGGAACTGAGTTCAGTTACGACTCAGCATAATCGAAATTATTCATTATATGAAAAAAAACGTCAAAATTAGTAGGATAAATAGTAGTTTTCGTCTTTATATTCAGGGTTCGGAGACAATCTGCCGATGTGAGAGCCTCCGAATACTTTGCCCTAATGACACTACTGAACAAATGTCAGACTGCAATTGGATGCGGCCTTGTTGATTTAGTAAAAAGGTAACATAGACCTTTGGGGGGGGGGAATACATGAGACGAAAAAAGTTTTTATTTTTGGCTGGGGGGTTGTTGTTGTTTTTGTTGTTGTTTGTTTGTATATGGAGAACAATCAATATGTAAAGACTTTAAATATAGACTATATCATGTATGCAGAAAATACTACACAAATATAATGAAATCATCGAAAAGATAAGCGATAAACAATTTCTAATTAATGTCCAAATATGAAGTCGATTTTTAAAAAAAATATTACATGGAAATATTCTGTACTTGTATGTTGACTTGTGCTTTTGATTTGATCATGATCATAAAAGTCAGGATCAGGAAAAATATGGGTTGTTAAGCAATACCAAAGGTATACATAACTCTTATATCCTTAATTATGCACTTACATGTACAATGTTACATTGTATATATAAGTGCATAATTAAGGGTATAAGAGAAGGATTTTGTTTTTAAATATTGATTTAAAAATACATAGTTCTGCATTAAGTTTGAGTCAAGGACAATAATAAATTAAATTTCGACTTTATGTGTCTCAAAATCAGAAATTATAAATTGCAATATAAGTTTATATATATACATTTGTGGTATCTTTCCTTTATATAAACATACAGAGAGAAAATATCTTCAATTCTGTGTGAAGTTTGTCGGAGGTCAGGTACAATACATGGCCGATTCTGTAAACCTATAGGGTTTAGCAGAGACAATTATTGTGTGAACATTTTAAACTTAGACAATATTAATAACATAATCATTTTTAGTTTTTAGCAGTTAAAATAAAATGAGATAAAGGTTTATTAAATCAGAATGGATATTATTAGTGACGCAGATTCGGTGACTTTATAATTGGAAAAAGGACTTTAATTTTGCAAACAATTTATCTTGTCAAAACAAATTGGATTTTGTTGTTGTTCAAATGCACTATAATTTGGTAGATCATTTTGTAATGAAATTGATCCGAACAGACCAATCAAACCCATCGATAGTAAGTAATAAAATTTGAACGGAAATACAATGGTATTATTAAGAGTTTTGACTAAGAGCAATAAAATTGGGAACTTTTAAGTAAATAAGTAAAAGAGCTTAAGGCTAGAACTCCTGTGGTGCAGAGATGGGGACTGAGCCCATAAATATTAGTAACATGTATTTACCTACATTTGAGGGTGGTGCCATGTTGGGGTTCATAGGTCAACGGACAGACCTACGGACAAAGCGTAGGTGGTTGGTGATGGTAAATTATCCAATGAAATGCATTTTTATATCCGGGACCATGGATACCCACTGAGCACAAAATACCCTGTTTTGGAAAAGAGTATTCCCGGTCTTATTCTCAAATTATCAACTCTCTCTTATTCTATTTTTGGGAATCATTCTTTTGGACTTTTGTTTATTTATTTATTTGGAGTTCGGACTTAAACTCTTTATATTTTGGACGGATCCTTTGGACATTTATATAAAAAGTGTATTGGTCTTTTCTGATCATATTTCAGGAACGAATATTTCTAAAAATATACGATCACGGAAAAATTGTAAATTGAATTTATTTAATAAACTTTTGAAATCGACAAAAGGGTTGTCATTGGCTTACAATTCACATGGCGCAATAATATCTACCGTTACAAAAATATAAAATGACTTGCTCTACTTGCTTTTCATGTATAAAAAACAAAATTAGCAAGTCAAATAATTATTTTATTTACAACGTAAACAAGTATTTCATACATGTTTTGGCGATCAATTTAGCCCGAGTGTGTACATAGAGAATATATCGATAGAAACTAGCCAAGCCTTTGTTTACAAGTTTTATGTCACTCTTGTCAACTGCACAGTCTCTAACGTTTATACTCATTTTTTGGTAGACCTTCAGTCAAATCTTCATATGATACAGACTTAAACTATGATTTTTTCATTAAATTCTACTCACGATAAATGTGTAAATCTGTTGGAAAATATCAAAGCATTGCAATCTCGTCACGAACAGCTGAGAAACACCTCGATCGGCGCTATCATAGTTCAATGTAAGCTGTCGCCAGTGTCTCCGTGTTTACATCTTAAATATGGCTTTAGTTAGTGAAATCGTAGATTGAATGTTTTTGATCAAATTTAATACTTGCTTGCAAATGAAGTGGCTCGGACAAGTGTCTCCATCCATCGGATTCATACATCCCTCTCAGACGACCGAAATTCCTCCAACTTTTTATCATCAAACTTCGGACGTGTTTCTTGTATCTTATTAGCATTGATAATCATTTTTCACAAATTAAAATATTCCCAGACAACAATCTGTTCACTATTACTGATCAGAAGTAGCCTTCAACAAAATATTCCCTTCGAAATAGAATCCTTAGCCTGATAAATTCGAAGCGTAACCGCCTTTCAAGCCGATTTACACCTTGCGCACTTTTGTCGAAAATCTACGGCGACCTATTAGTGCAATATTCAAATCCGAATGTCCATCTCAAATGTATATATAAGTAATAAGTAACAAGTTTATAAACTTCAATGGGAATTGAAGTGGGTCGGTACGTGATCAAATCTTCTGAGAAGGCCTTTGTTATTTATTTCTTAATTAAAATTGCGTTGCTCGCCAGTATTTCCAAATGTTGTCCCATATAACCCTGATAAGTATCTTCTTTGAACTTCTCTCAAAGCTTATGATATGTTGACTTACAGTGGAATTGTTTATAGCTATCACATTTTCCTAATAATTAATTGTAAAGAAACATTTCTAAAAAAAACAATCATGTACACGATAAAGCTTAATATTTCAAGTTTATTAAATTATATATGAAGTAAAAATGGCAGATTTTTTCCCTTGACTAATAAACCAAAATATTTTTCTCGAAAATGTAGACGTAGGGTTATCATGTTTTTGCCATTAAACGTGGTAAGAAGGAAAGTCGCCAATAATAGCGGTAAAGAGAACATTTGGATACTGAATTGCTAATAGCGGTAAAGAGAACATTTGGATACTGAATTGCTTGTGGTGATAAAAGAAACGATTTTTTTTAATACACACTGTGCATTTAGAAGCTAAAGTAAACATTCCTTGTTATGTTTTTCTTCGAATTAGATGGTTTTTGTGACCTGTTGACCTATGTTTTATGTCTGCCTCCATTCTTCATTTACTAGAGAGTAGGCTAAATATGCGCTCTTAAAGGAAATAGTAAGAGAAATTGGCTTCTCGTTTGAATTAATTTGATGCATCTTGAAAGCATTAGTGGCGATTTTGGCATACAACATTCTAAAATAAATTCTCCCATTTGTTGGTCAACATATTTTATGTCTTTCCTTTTGGCCCATGGGTCTCTTGTTAAGTATCAACTTGACAAGACAATGACAAAATCTTGTCTAACCTTACAAGAGGTGTACATGTTGGCATCGTTTTCACCAATATAATCATCTTCTGGTGACGATGTGCTTGCAATCCAGTGAATTTATTGACCTTTATCAAATAGATAGTCATTTATCCTTGCGATTAATATAAATAATAATAATGCGGGGGGGGGGGGGGGGGTTCGCCATTTACAATGTACAATGTATACATGTCACTTTCTTGCTGTAATAGAGAACTGGATTTAAGTGCCCTTTAATGTACTGACAATTGTATTTATGTTTTGCAATTTATATGTTACAGAAGTAAGAAAATTTGTGTCTGAGCCCATAAGCAAGAATAGATGATTTTGTCAAGGTTTTACTTAATATGTCTTCAACCTTAAATGCAATACTGGTCAGTCTGGGTAAACATATCAAATAATTCCATATATAAATTTATAAATAAAGAGGGAAATCTTGCAGCATGTTTGTAGCATGAATTCAAACAAACTTGATCGAAACTGCAACAACCAGATTGTTAGATAAAACAATAACAAATTGTAACCACATAAAAATTGTCAATTGAATATGAAAAACCGAAATGTTAAATCATATGGTCCTCATGTAAATTAAAATTGTATACATACCTTGCATAAACATTTTATGGATGATGTTTACCAGCTTCCACAAAAAAGTAATCATATATGTGTAGCTTTTATCAGATCAAATATGATAACTGTTCTATACAAAGGATGTTTAAGACATGTTTTTCACCAATTGTACTTTAACCTATAGTTTATGTTCTTTTCTTTACAATTTTCAACATTAAAAGCACAACTTGACAATTATAAATTTCAATATTTTTCTAATTATAGCGGAAAGAGGAAAAGAACAGAGAACAATTCTCCGAAAGGGCAGCATTCTCTGAGGATAATCCATTTACTGCTCCCAAAGGAGCAATAAAGGTAGGATAAAAATAGCTTTTCAAAACGTACTTAATATATCAAAATCGATCCATTCTGTGATTTCCGTAATTCTAGTTTCACGGATCTGATGTGACTTTTTTTATCCTTAATTAAACTTCAAAGAAATTGAACCATCTGTTTTTTTTTTTTCTTCTGTATAATGTTTTAGCAAGAAATTATAAATTTTGGTTTCATTGAAACGCGCACAATTCAAGTTTTATTTTAAAAACTATTTATAATATATTTTGAATGTACATATGTAATAAAAAATATGAAAAATCGTCTCAAATTCACATTTATTAAAACAATATAAAGAATATTCCGAAAGTTTCTTCTTAATTCACATAAAACCACTAAGTATATATTAAATACCTTGAAGAAAATAGAATTTCGCAGGTGCTTTAATAAATCTCGCTGCTTTGAAACATCATACTTTACCGTAAAATGTTGCACACACAGCCTTTGAATATAATACTAGTGATTTTAAAATGTACAAAAAGTAGTGTAAATATATTTATTATTATTTCATAAGTCGAAGCTAAGCGACTTATTTGTTGATTTTGAGTTGTTTGACGCCCTGTTAGAGACTTTTTCATTTTTTCCCACTCAAATAGAGACGTCACCATATACCGGCTAAGAGCTAGCTTCAAATTCTGACCTTTACTCGGCACTCAGTGTCACTGAGCAATGAGTTATCCAAGGAGGCATCGAATGAAAATAATCTCTACTACATGTAACATAAAACTAGAGGTACTGTGAACAATAAGTTCACTAAATGATACCCCCCGCCTCCCATATGAATATAATGGCAGTGTCCATGTTTTGCTCTGGAAAATCCAAAATATATGTCAGATCAAAAAGTAAAATAGGAGGTGCACAATGGCAATATGTAATGAAGATTCTGTGAAAGTTTCATTAAATTTCCTTCAGTGATATGAGAGGAGTTGCGGATAAGAGATGGGTACCCCAAAGCGTAACAGACGGACGGACGTACAGACGGACGGACGGACAGACGGACGGACGGAAATACCGATTACTATATACCCTCCCACTTTTCAAGCGTGTGGTATAATAAAAATAGGAACAGATCGCAATTTTCAGAAAAAGTAATAAAGGCACACAGAGCGTCCCTCACAAATAAACAAAGAGAGGAGAGGTTTTTTTTATGTGTAGATTATTATACCCCCGCTTGAAAAGTGGGAGGGTATACTGTAATCGGTATGTCCGTCCGTCCGTCTGTTACACGTTAGGGTACCCATCTCTTATCCGCAACTGCTCTTATACCACTGAGTGAAATTTAATGAAACTTTCACTGAATTTTTATTACATATTGCCATTGTGCACCTCCTATTTTACTTTTTGATCCGACACAAATTTTGGGTTTCCCGGCCACAGCAAAACATAGATTTGTCATCAGTTATAACCATATGGGAGGCGGGGGTATCATTTTGTGAGCTCATTGCTCACAGTACCTCTAGTTTATTAATTGTCTAATAATTATTTCAGGTCAACAGATGAGCCTGCGTCCTAATAGGATGACACCATAATTAACGTATTTACTGTCCATTTTCTTTGGAGACATTGATCTCGGCGCATGCAGTATTTCCTGCAATTGTTATTTTTGTATAGACATTTCTCATTAGACCTTGAAAGTAAAATTTAATTAAAAGTCATTTTGGATCCTTTGATTTGTTTTTATTACTACTGAAATTATTCATATTAAGTCACTTTACATAGAAGTATTTAACAAATTGTCCAATAAGGTAAATTCACGCTTCCACCGATGGCAACAAAAGTCACTTGGTTGCAGACTCCGACAAAGTAACGTAAACAACATGGATGCGATTTACAGAATCACATGGAAAAAAGTTCAATGAGTTTGTGAGCTCATAATTTTTTTTTCAAAAATGTTTGTCGAAAGTCATATAAGTTTAATTGAGGTTTCAAACACAACATTTCAGTAAGTAGAAATGGGATGAAAGAGTGATTTTAACCCCTAGATCCGTATACAGCTGGCTTGAAGGTCAGTTTAACTTTCGCCGGACAGTGTTCTACAGAGTGGTTAGAGCGTAAACGTAGACTAATTAATTTTCATTGTTGATAATAAAATCGACAAATTTTGTTTAGTAAGCATTGCAATCTTAACCGCCGAATTTTTAGCTCTACTGGTCAGAGACCAGAAGAGCTTATGCGATAGTAATGCGTCCGGCGTCCGTCCGTCTGTCTGTCTGTCTGTCCGTCTGTCTGTAAACAATTTTTCAAAATGCTACTCCTCCTACAGTTTTGGTCTGATTTCAGTATAACTTGGCACACAAGTAGACTACACTAAGATACATAATTCTGTGTATTGGTTTTTGATTTTGATGAATGGTGTTGCCGTGGTTACTAAAAATAGAAATTTCTGTGAAATTCTTTCAAAATGCTACTCCTCCTACAGTTTTGATCTGATTTCAGTATAAGTCGGCAAACAAGTAGAATACACTAAGATACATAATTCTGTGTATCGGTTTTTGATTTCGATGAACGGTGTTGCCGTGGTTACTAAAAATAGAAAATTCTGTGAAATTCTTTCAAAATGCTACTCCTCCTACAGTTTTGGTCTGATTTCAGTATAACTTGGCACACAAGTAGACTACACTAAGATACACAATTCTCTGTATCGGTTTTTGATTTTGATGAACGGTTTTGCTGTGGTTACTAAAAATAGAAATTTCTGTAAAATTCTTTCAAAATGCTACTCCTCCTACAGATTTGGTCTGATTTCAGTATAACTTGGCACACAAGTAGACTACACTAAGATACATAATTCTGTGCATCGGTTTTTGATTTCGATGAAGGGTGTTGCCATGGTTACTAAAAAAAGAAATTTCTTTGAAATTCTTTCAAAATGCTACTCCTCCTACAGTTTTGGTCTGATTTCAGTATAAGTTGGCAAACAAGTAGACTACACTAAGATACATAATTCTGTGTATCGGTTTTTGATTTCAATGAATGGTGTTGTCGTTTACTAAAAATAGAAATATCTGTAAAATTGTTTCAAAATGCTACTCCTCCTACAGATTTGGTCTGATTTCAATATAACTTGGCACACAAGTAGAATACTCTAAGATACATAATTCTGTATATTGAATTTTAATTTTGATGAACGGTGTTGCCGTGGTTACTAAAAATAGAAATGTCTGTAAAATTGTTTCAAAATGCTACTCCTCCTACAGTTTTGGTCTGATTTCAGTATAACTTGGCACACAAGTAGACTACACTAAGAACATAAAGAGACTTTATCAACAATCATTATTCTATTTAATGCTTTTTATAAAGTTTCAAATCCCAGCTGCTTAAGTACTTTCTCTTCCTTTGCTATAAGTTCAAACCAGTAGAGCTTCAGTCTCGACAGAGACTTCTGGTTCCTCAAATGTTAAAGTCTTTGTTACCGACGTTGGACAAATTAAAATTATTTGTTGTTGTAGCAATAGGCCTATTTAATGTGTTTAGTAACATTTTATTCACCGCATCACTTCCCCACACAATAATTTTGATTTGAACAAACCGATAAAATTTTTTATTTAATTTATTTTTAATATTTGCTTTAAAATCCTCTCTACTCTACACTAAAGATCTGATTCTGTGTTCTTGGTATTGCAATTAGATTATAATTAAGATACCCCTAGATCTAAATTAAAAAAAAATTAAAATCTACAGCGTTTTATTCAATTTTTAATAAATTCAAAGATTTGTAACATTTAAATAGGCCAAGATAAATTAAATGAATATTTTTATGCACACTTTTTTCTCACATGAGTCAACAATAGTGATTTCTGTTCATATATATTCATCATCTTTATTTTCTGTGAGATTATGCAAGGTATCCCACACTGAAAATGAAATGGAAATGCTCAAAATTTCCACTTTCATACAATAAATTTTCTCAATGTCTAACATCATTTTGTTTGGTTGGCAGTATTTAGAGTGTCCTTAAGATCATAAACAGTAAACAAATTAAAAATTTCAGATGTTTAACTTTTCACATAAAGATCAAGAAAAAATTCTTCCCGTGTCTGTATCATATTATTGTACTAAATAAACTTGCAGGGTTTTTGTCATGGTTAAAATATTACCGGAGATTTTCATTCAGAATTCAACTTTTGACTCATTTTGTCTCAGTTTATGGCTCTTGACATATACTTTGTGATATACATTTCAGAAGTCCTTAATGGTTTTAGGGTATTACATATATGGAAGTTACATTGTGAAAGACTGTTTAATTATCAAAACATTCAGTGTACTCCACCTATTCTAAACTAAAGCTGAAGCACAAACTTTAGGGATTAAGGAAAATATTCACATAATGTTGAACAAATAAGTTACACTAAATAAATAATAAATACATAAATAGACACTAATGGTAATATAACAACCAAGCTATATGATAAACGTGATGACTTTAACTTTTCTATCGTCAACTTCCCTTACTTATGCAGCAACATACCTTCATCACCTACATACGGAGTATATATAATTATCTCAATTGATTCGATACGCAAGAGCATGCTCTACGTTTGAACAATTTCTAAAACGAGGTAAATTATTTACAAGCACGTTGATGAAGCAAGAATATCAGCAGTCTCGTTTAAAGTCATTATTTCGAAAGTTCTATGGTCGATACAATGACCTTGTCAGCAAATACAATTTATCATTGAGTCAATTAAATGCTGACTGACGTTTTTCATAACAATTGTTAGTCCATTATTTATAAACTGAATTGACGACGGATTTTTTTCCGTTATTTCCTGATCATGACAAGGAGCACACGGCGGGTGTGACCGGTCGGCAGGGGATGCTCACTCCTCCATGGCACCCGATCCCGCCTCTGATGTTCTGGGGGTCCGTGTTTTGCTCTGCTCTTATTTTGTATTGTTTTATGGACTTTGAGATTGAATACTGTTCGTTATCTCCATATCCTTCTTACATTCAGTATTTCAAACTGCAAGGTTTAAAGGATTTCCTTGCAGAACAATCATGATGTCTTCATCGGCAGTGACATACTCATAAAGGAATCAAAATAATTCTGTGTCAATCAATGATATTATCTTTTCATGTAAATTAGTTGAATACGAATTGTATAAAAAAAAAACACTATTTCCCTCTGAACAATGAAACTACGCCCTCCAGCGTAGCAAAAGTCAACATTGCTTGAAGGGTGATATTCCAAGCAATATGTGCAGAATTTTTGCATGAACAGTTCAGTGTTACATTTCTTCGAATCAAACATTCAGTGTAATAAAATAAATACAGCTTGCAGTTGAGGGTAACATTGAAAATATTCTCCCCTCAAAAACCATGGTCAACCTCACCTGCACGCTCAGTTGACCATGGTTTTTCTCGGGGTGAAAATTTTCAATAATACCCTTCAGTACATGCTGTATTTAAAAACAATATCACAGATGTGTTATAAATACAAAACAAGAAAACATTGATGTAACCATCAATTGTCGCCCGGAAAATATATAAAGTAAACAATGAGTCTTGATCATCAAACCGCTTCGATTAGTGTGAAAAAGACATGCGTCTAAATGATGGAGACGATAGTCGAGAATATCTTGAAAACTTATAGTCGGATGAAAATCGAACAAAAACGATACCCTTGTAAACTTTATCAATTCCCCGAGTAAATGTTGGCTGTATAAAATATAAATTGAAACCAGACACATACATCACCTATATTCAAAAATGTATTCTACTTGAATAATATAAAACACGAACTGTGTGGAGTACGTTTTTATGCGAAAAGTAAAATTCGATGTTCTGAAAAAAAGACCTGTCATTTTGTCGATAGTAAATGATAAGCAACTTTATATATTAGATATGAAAAACATATATATTTTACGGATTCACTTTGTGGACGTAAATATATTATGTATCTCGTAATCTATAAAGAGAAGGAACATTCTGATTAACAATCTTTTTAATGTTTAGAAAACCTTTAATTCTGAATAACTTCTCAAACCTCAATCCCCATACATGTACACTAACACTTAAACTTATATTTAAAGAGCAGCCCGTCCTCCTGGCTGCAATAAGCAATGTAAAGATACAATATGTGCGAAAGAAAGACAAGGTATGGATATACAGAAAAGTTTATTGATACTGTACATTTCATATACAAGTTGCAGTAAGAATATATTTGTTTATGTCAAAGTATTTTTTCCTTTTATCAAATTTCCTAGGCAATGACACACATGTTAAGGTCTGGGTGTTGGAACATTTGTTGTCCCCCGCTTGAAAAGTGGGGGATGTTAATTTGGGTCTGTCCGTCCGTTCGTCTTTCTGTCTGTCTGTAACGCTTTCGTTTCCACACGATATCTCGAGAACCCTGTGACCTTTCGCAATGAAATTTTGCCTAGCAACTCCCTATGGCCTAAAGAAGAACGCTATTGATTTTGAGGTCAAAAGGTCAAGGTCATAAATTCGCAAATTCTGTCTTTTATAACACTTTCGTTTCTCGAGAACTCTTTGATCTTTTGCAATGAAATTTTACATAACAACTCCCTGTGGCCGAAGGAAGACCCATATTGATTTTAATGTCAAAAGGTCAAAGTTCAAGGTCGTAAATTTATACATTCTGTCTGCATGAAACACTATCATTTCCGGGCGATATTTCAAGAAGATTTTGAGCTTTTGCAAT